AAAAAAATGTAAAAAAGTGTATAAAAAAATATGTATATAAAAAGGAAATTATGGAAAAAAGGCAAAGGAAAAAAGGAAAATATCACTAACGAGCATGAACCAAAAAAGAAATTAAAAAAAAAAAAAACCATGCACTCACACATCTCATTCATTCACTGTATGAATCCTGCTAAAAAAAAATTGATCTGTTATAAAACTCAATAGTTGGAGATATCAAGACAAAAATTATTTTTGTTTATATATTGATGTCTCTGACCTATTGATAATATACCCATGATTTGGGGTAACATACAAACCTACACAACATTTCGCATAATCCACAAAAGATGTGGCGCGAACCCTAACAAAGGATCGTGCTTCACAACGTCGTCGTTCTGTGTAATAACAAAATCTTTTCTTTTGTCTACTTTCTTTCACATAAAAACAAAAAAAACCAAACCAAAACTCTAAAATGTGCTTGCTCCACTCATCGCCATATCCTGAAATATATATAAAAATTTTTACAAATTCTGAAATTTGTATAAATTTTGAAATCCTGTCGAACCGAAACCTGAAATACGAACCGTTCACCAAAAAAAAAAAAAAAAAAAAAACGAAATCACCAAATTGTATTGAAATTGTGGCAATTGCATCGAGCAGCCCCGTTCAAAATGGCATTCAGCGTCGAAATCCAAGCCAGCCAAAATAGGCCACAGAGCGAATCAAACAACAGCATCGAACATACCAAGAACATCACCAACAACGACTGTCAAAACAACTTATCCGATTGTACTTACGGCACCAACTCAAGCAGCAACCAAACGGAATACCGAAAATCCCAAAGATATAATATTGATGATCCAGGAGCCAGCACGAGTACAGGCAACAACATACGAGGCACAGGAACAGCATCAAAACTTAGTAGCAACTGGCGAGAGAATCTACTCATCCAATTGCAACTGCTCGCAGAAGAGAACCGATCGTATAGTGCCTACGAGGGATTCGCCTATATTGACGACAACAAACTCAACAACGATACCAATCGTTATAAACACACAGCCCAATCCAAGAATCATACTGATCAAGGTGCCCACGCACAGCAGCAGCAGCAACAGGACAGAGCAGAGCGCGCCTCGAACTCGTCTTATCAGAATACCCTTTTTACCAGGGTCGGTACCAACAACGGATTCTCTGAAAGCTGCATTGCCTACGGCGAGCTCTTCAGTAAACTTTACATCTTCGGCGACAGCATCCCGTATCGTGAAGCCAATATCCCGTATCCCGTTGACTGGGACAATATACCCACAAGAACCGAGCTCGAGTTGCTCAGTTTCGCAAGTAAACCAGGTCGCGAACGACCAAGTGGTAAATCCACCGACTGTGGAAACGGTGACGCAAACGGTCCCGGTTTCGAGCACGCCCCAGACTCTGGCGTCAATGGCTGGTATACAGCTGACAGGTGCAGACATGCAGTCCCGCCAGGATATGAGTGGAGCAATGCCTACTGCTACAGTTGAAGAGATAGACGTACCGGTGTTCATAGATGGTGAGTACTGTGTTTGTGTGTGTAATTTGTACCAGCACTCTCTCGTTACTGTTCGAAATCAAAACAAGTAGCCAACAGTCATGCGTGGCCAAACAATCAGTTAGAGAAAGAGTCAGATAGCAGGCATCGAAAGGCACCCGTCTGACCGCTGGCTCTTCCGAAACAGCTGGCAGACGGACGCTGTTTCGGCCTATGACATCGAGGTACATTACCACCTGATGAATGAGAAGAAGATCACAGTGCAATGACCCATTGCGACCACAAAGCAGTCAACAGAGTCATGAGTAATGTGTGTAATGCCAAGTCGGATGGGGACGGACAAGTGTCTTGTTTTCCATCAAATTGGCTTCAAAGAGGGTTATGTGAATCACATTCACTTTAGACTTTTTACTGTTATTTATTATTATATATAAAGTATAACTTTTACATTTCAAACAATAGCTATTATGAGTTATACCTTAAGGGGGCTCTGGCCATTTAATATGGCTAAATGCACGTTCTGATCCATATAGAGTAACTTCTTAGAATATTCGAATTTTTAGATCTCTTAGTTTCAGAAATATTCAGGTGTTAACTTACACTATAAACATTTGTTAGTATTAGGTACTGATATGCAACAGTAATCATTTTCAATGTATATAGATGATGATATTTATCTCTATTTGCTGTTGCTATGCACGACAAACAAAGTATGTAAAAGCTAATTGGACTTGGCCACTGCTAATAAACGATTATACATGCCAACCTGAATTGCTTCAAGAGAGTCAAACCATACCCATAGCCGAAGGCCTTAAATACGATGAATCAGGTTTAAAGCATTTTTTTTTTATACTTGAACTAAAAGGTTTAATAATTGCCTTTTACGGCTACACTTTTCTCAACTTTTTTATAAATAGGTTTCATTCATGTTCATATGTGTGTACTTAAATAAATACACGTAACAAGAAGTTAGTTTCTTATTGTTTAACGTCCAATACGAACAATTTAATATGGTTAAATTTTCTATTATGATTTGTAAGATAAAGAAACGCTCAATTTATATATTTATTGTATGAATTGGTCATTATATACTGAGAATTTACATATATGAAAGATATATGTAGATATTGGCAATTCTTTTAATTGATAGGAGAGTATAAAGTCTGCATTAGGTGCTAATTTAGAAGGCATCATTTTTATTTGACAGAATGAGCGAATTACGATTTCATCTATTAATTTCCATCGAATTTACACAAAGTTCTTATCAGCAAACAGACCTCTTCTGCCACTTTGCTTCCGTACGACGTACGTCCCTTCGCAGTTTTAGTTTTTGTTTTTGCAACTCTGAGTCATGCTGTCACTTTTTTTAACACCAACGAATCAATTGCGCATTTTGTTATAAACGCATTCCAGAGTAACAGAAAAATTACATACATAACGTATTATTATAATTGTATTACAAATATTTTATATTTTTAATTAAATTGATGTATGACAGGGCCTGTTAATTTGTTAATTTTTCATTCTATTCTGGCCTGAGAACAACATACCAATTTTTATATTGAAAACCCTATAGAACATTATATGCATAATTATTTGCACTCTATTGAAGTTTTGTTAATTAAATAATCAAGATGTTTCTCATTATGAATTAATTTCATTTACTTCAAAATAAAATTTAGAAATCATATGGTTTATCAGAAGCCTCACTAAAGGCGTCGACTCTCGCGCCACCCAGCTATCCCATTGGGCCTTACTATCGTCTTTGTTTGAAACGATGACCGTGTCCATAAATGGGCATAGAGTATGTAGAGTTAGGCGCGTTCTGCAGCGCTGGAAAATCAGGCAATTTTAAAGCTTTATATATGTACATATGTATGTATAGATATGTTATTGATATTAAAGACAGCTGTATATGAATATGCATTCATGCAAATATGTACATATGTATGTATGTATATCTGTACATACATATGTCAACTTATGACCTAGATTCAATTTTACTGTCAATACAAGTGCCGATCTTTGTATACATCAAGTATACATCAATATTTCCACATTATTTAAATTATTTCCAAATTACATAGATATGCATGTACATTTTTATTTAAAAGTTAATTGCTTAATGCCCGATTTAGAGACATTGACATTGGTTTCTTAAGATTTAATGCTTCCCCCAATTGTTGTGAAATTCGATTAGCATGATGCGCAAAATTTGAGAGAGGCAAGCGAGAGTATCCAGTTTGCACTATTTGTAGGAGTATGTGTGTCGCTCTCACGGGCGACGCGTCGATCAAACGCAGTCATGCTGTCTCTTTCGCTCTAGCTCGCTCTAAATACGAGACAGCTGATTTTTGCCGGCCGGTTGTTGGATTCTCACATACACATACATAAATACGAAGGTGTATATATGTATGTGTTCACAGTCTGCACATCATCGCGTATACGCTAGATAGTACAACAACAACCGGCAGTGCATATTCTGGCTATTAAAATATTAGTTATATATTTTTTCTGCATTTATTAAGTGTTTCAAGTAACACAGTATGATTTGTCTTTCAATAGACTCCATAATAAATAAGCACAAGGCTAATAAATAGATACATACATATGTATGTATGCATGTACGATGACACTCTTTGTTCAGAATCCAAGTCGAAGTTATAAGGAATATTTCTCTGCTCTGGTGAAATTCCAGCTGCAATTGTATTGGTGCATCGAAAAGCCAAAAACTTCTGTTAATTATACATATGAATACATTGGTAAGATGTCGGCCATAGGCCAATATCTAATACATTTAAATCATATGTAATTGTCCAATAAGAAGCTCCTGTAAAGCACGCATGCGGCAGAGCGAGACAACAGTATACGCACAACACTTGTTGGTGTAAGGCAGGTTGCGCACACATATATATATATATGTGTATGTATGCATGTGTAGGCTTGCGCTCGATCGCTCTCGATAAAAGGTTTGTTTTTGCAACTCGCAGTCAGTTATTGTCAGACCTTTCGTACGTGAAGAACGTTAAGCGAAGTAGCGCGCAGAGCAGATTCAGAATACGTTCGAAAGGTGAATATTTATGAAAATAATATAAATATATAATTATTTAAATTAATTTCTTGAAAATGTAAACATTTTTAGATGAAAATTAGTTTATTTTTCCGACAGGAATCTTAATGCCCTCTAGTAGGTATATCTGCAAGAACTGTTTCTTTTTGTTGTGTGCATTTGAACTCACATAACTTAAATTGRCAAATATATTATGCTCCTGATTAAAAAAGACGAATATGATTTAAATAAATTGGCAATAAATATTATTATTTTTATTAGCCCTAAATTACCGCTATAGGGTTTACTTTAGTGTAATGTATAATATGTTGCAAACACAATCAAATTTCATCCCCTTAACAGTTCGTCGTCAACATTTTAAAAGCGTGCATGCACGATCATGTTTGCTTCGAGTTAGGCTAATGAGTGTTCGGTCCCGCTCTCTTGTGCTGTCTCTTTCATTGCGCGCAAAACAGACTAGATACTTATTGGAAATTAAGAATATTTTTGTTTTTAATTCACTTATTTCATTTACTACATTTTTTATATATTATTTCTACCGTCTGCCATAAATTTTGTTGTATTTACAGTTTGTATTATTTTCGTTTGTGTTATTCGGTTTCGTTTTGTGAATTTCACAACAAACTGTGTGAGCGAGATAGCGATCAAATACATTTACAGCAGCTAGCTGTCTCTTTCCAAATTAGCTGACAGCTTAAAAGTATGCAACATATTTGAATTCAACGCATTGGAAGTATAACAAATATGTTGTATGACATTCAGTTCATTCTGCTCAGCGAAGTTAGTTCTTTTTACTTTTGAATATCTGATTGGGAATTTATTATAGCCATCAACATTGGGAATTCCATTTTACGTACTTCTTTCAACCAAAATATATAGAAATAATTAGTTTGAAGAATTACGTGAAATATTTTTGTGTTGTTTCTAGGTCGAAGTACTCAATAGGAATGCAATTTTACATTATTATTAGAGTATTGCGTACTTAAGTGAATATGAAACAATATGATGAATATGAAATTAATTAAAAGTGGTCATTGCAAGGGCAACTGAAAAAGTTATAGTATATAACGATTTAATAATTTGGCACACGCACAAATTCTAAAATGCATGCGAATTTTGTTTTTTTTTGTATTAATAATCTTTTGTATCTTCCATAGAATTCCTGCAAAATATAGAAGCTACGTCGACGACGAGCAGCAACGGTAAAAGCGAGGAGTTTGAGAAAGAGATTTATAGTGAGACGGATATATTTGACTTTGACTTTGACATAAACCTGATTGCYGAGGATCACATTGAGAGCAAGGAAATGGATCAGTGCAATCTGGAATTGGATAGCAATTACAGCGACAACTTTAACAGCGACTTAACATTAATGGATGAATTTCAAGTTCAACAATTAGATAATGCAGAGGAGGCAGAAGACATGGCCTCCATTTGCAATGGCATCGATTTCGGAAGTGATCCACATTCAGATTTGGATCTAGACAACATACTGAACAGCGATCCTATGCTGTCAACTTTCTCACAAGGTTCCACCCTGTGGTCATCTAGCCAAACTAAGTACTTCAACGAGCTACCCATACCAGCTGACGAGAACAGCATGGAAAACTACAGCTTCAGCCAGCAGTCGTTGGGCTTCGGTCTTGGCCCGCTTGGTGGCTTTAGCGAAGATGTTTGCACTGCTACGGCTGTGCAGGAAGCCCCATGCACTCAGCGTTTGGGCGTGAAGCGCACAGCCTCTGCAGTGTCTCTCGTCCCTACAGTTGAGACACTGCCACAGAAGCGTAGTAAGCTCGTTCTTCACATCAACAAATCACAGATCACCCATCCAGATGTCATGAACACCCCTGACATTATTGATCAGGTGATCAAGCTTTGTGAAGTAAGTTACTCTAGCGTTTCATTAAATACGCAGGCAACTAATTCACTACTTTTATCGCTTATAGGTCAATTCACCAAGTAACGTGTCCAACCACCATCAAATTTATGAGGAGCTCCGCAGCGTAGAGGATAGTACAACATCCTCCCAACTACCAGAGATTTCAGCGCCGGGCACGCCCAATAGCACATACTCAATTAGTACCTCTACCTCGTATGCAACAACTTGCCTGACGGGATTCGCTGGCTTGATCACAGCACCCGTATCGCCCGCTGCATCCACCGCCAGTACATCAGCGTTCAGTGCCACAACATCGACCAATGGTAACACCAAGCGCAAGCGAGGACGTCCTGCCAAAGAGCACGCTGATGGACCCGATCCGGAGCTGATGGCCCAAATGACGGAGGAAGAGGCGAAGGTATACCGAGATCGTCTTAAGAACAACGAGGCTAGCCGCGTGTCGCGTCAGAAGACCAGACTGCGTGAGGAGGAGGAAAAACGTGAAGAAGAAGACCTGCAAGCGACCAACAACAAACTCAAATGCAAGGTGCAGCGACTTCACCTCCGAGCAAAACGCTTTGAGAACTTCCTTAGGGAAAACTTCATTAAAAATAGCACCTATGTCAAGCCCGAACCGGCGTCTTAAGATTCTCATAGCCATGCCATAGTCAAACTTTCGTACCTCTCGATTGTCGCATATTGCGATGCAAAGCTGTAGTTGTAACAAGATAATTTCAATTATTCCATTAAGTTAAGGTTGTCGCTGAAGAAGTCGCTTTACAATATGGAATCCACTTGAGGAACCATAACAAAAAACAAATGATCAGAACAGTTCATCAATTGCAAAAGCAATTGATGAAAAACTTTTATTATGTTATTAGAACCTAAGAACTTGTATATACTTAACGCGCCATATAAAATGCGTATGATTATACAAATTTTTTAATTAGTGCATAATTATGTTTGAAATTATGAAATTTTATCCACATGTTTTATATACTTATGTTTTATGTACTAAATGTAATCAACAACAAAACTCGTTTGCAAGCTCAATGAAGCAAAAAAAAAAAAAAAAAAGAAGAAAAAGAAAAAAAAAAATTGAGTAGCGATTAATTACACTTACATTGATTATATTGCCTTTAGTTGTGAAAACAAAAAATGTTACAAAAATATGTATACAAAAATGTGTAAAATGTTATTAATGAAAATACACTATTTACCCATATATATTTTAGATTTATACACAAATATAATATAAAGTGCATGTGCTGAAGGCCATGCCAAAATCAAATTTTGTTTTATTTATATTTCTTACATAATTACGTCTTTAAAGTGCATTATAAAAACGTGCCTATTCTAAATAGTTGGAAATAGTGAACTTGGGAGTTTTCATTAGATTTCTTGAAATTTTTATTTGCAAACTACAGCTTTACATTTTTCATTTCATATAGCCTCATAAAATATATTTATTCAATACAGATTTTAGGCAGATTTACACATAAAATTGTTAGCCGAACCTTTAATTTGTCTATTGCACATTAAATTTTAAATGTTAAAATCATATACATTATATCTACAACCAGAACCGTTTGGAAACCACTAACTGAAGAGCATTTAGCGCACGACGCACTCTCAGAGGCTGTGGAGCACACGTGAACAATAAATCGGCAGCATTCCTCAATGAGATTCAACCAATTTGACGGGGGCTGGGATGGGGTCGAGCGATTACGTCGGTCGGTCAGTTGCGTGTTTGCGATAAATTGCAATCGTTGGTGTCATCATTGTTGTTCAAATATTTAGAGAGTGACATCGGGCGCTCGCTGGAACAGGTGGTTACTGAACAACCTACGTGGATGATTCCTCGGAGTACGTGTATTTGAGATAGCGTAAGCCCTGGAAAGCCTGCGCCGAAGCATTCGTGGCATGGCAAGCGAAGAGCAGCCAATTACGAGGTTGCACTTTGTAGGCGAAACGCATGAAAATACACGAGTACAGGGTCAGGGCTGTTAGGAAGAAAAAAAGAAGCAAAATTAAATTTAAGTACGACCGAGTTGCTGCCAGACATATCAGCCGCAGCCCGGCGGCTGGCGCATGGCCAAGTATCTGTATCTGGCTTATCAGTGTCGAGCAATTTGATTAGCGGAATCAGAAACGAGTATCATAAACAAATGTGTCTACCGAAGAGCTCCGATTGCGATTATATGGAATCTTTTGCAGCTGACGGATGATAAGGTTTAATAACACAATCTAATTAACTCTTACCGAAGGTCATTCTGCCAGAGATGAATTTTGGATGTTTGGACGTGTCCGCAATGGCAGCTATCGGGATGCCCCAATTGGCAACCGGTCCCCAAAAGTGGGTGCTCAGAAAGTAATTGCGCCATTCGGCGGCGCTTGAGCTTGAGCTTGACATTGYCCGTCTAATCGACATCTTGCTGCTGTTGAATATTCCACTTGAGCTCCTAGAAAGGCAATTTAGATTAGCGCTCTCCTTGAACACATATGCGTGGCTCTAGATTTTTAATTTTTCAAGGTCTTACAGGTTGTTGTTTGTTTACTGCGTAGGTGCTTGTTGGCAGTCGCCAATTTTATTTATTACCTATGAATAATTTTGGAATGCAACCAAAAAAATTTTTTACTGAGAATAGTTATGTAAAATTTAAATTTTGTGAGAGTACAATACAAAGCCTACGCGAAACCAACAGTTTCACAGCACTAATATAAACTAATGGCAAATAGCACTGTTAAAAGACTCACAAAATCGTGGGTAAATAGTGCATTGCTGTCATTTTTAGGCATTTTTTTTTTTTGTACAAGCATCGATTTTTTATTAGTCTGGCAGCTCAATAGTGGCAACGCTGAGTTTATTTCATAACATTTTTAAATCGGAGCAGGCAAAAAATAATTGTATATTAAATGCAGTTCTATTGAATGCAATTTGTAAGAATGACTATGCACATCACAGGCTTATTCCATAAGTTTGTAGGTATTTATTGACTGCATCAGCTGTTACACATAGCATTAGGGTGACCAGCACATTCAATATTCACTATAAAAATAAAACGGCGCCATGTTTTGAATTAAATATAATAATTATTATAGCAATACATTACAATTATATATTGATATCTGTTATATAATGCGTAATTAATATTTATAGAATATCTGTATAAGATAATATTGAGACAAAAATGCACATATGCATGGCTATTTGTATTATCAACATTTTCTTTCAATAGTTATAATAGATAGATAGACCTGCTATTAATTTGTAATTCATATATTTCTGTAAAAACTTCCGACTCTAAAGGAAATTGTACAATTGTGAGTCATATAGACGTTGTTGTCAAATGTTTGCATAGCAGCCAATATCTAAAAGCATTTTCTGGTAAAGATTGCACTTCATTTGGCTTATCAATGTGCCAAGGTAACTATAAAAGGTGTTAGTCGAGCACTGGTCGAGCATCATTTGCAGTAAAATGAAACTTCAGCTTACTATCTGTTTGGTTCTATTGGCTGCATGCAGTTTGGCTAACGCCTACAACAGCGATGGGCAGCCGGGCTGCAAGACGCAGGAGGAGTTGGACATTGCGATCTTCCGTGATAACTGGGATCCCACGTCCTACTGGAAGTGCGAGGCACTCAATGAGCCCGCAAGCAAAATGCGTTGTCCAGATGAGATGGGCTATCTCGATAGCCTGAAGGACTGCGTTAACTGGGAGGACTGGAAATGGGAGAAACCAGCTGCTCCACTCAGCGAGGTCGACGAGTGATTGAAAGATGATTGAAATTGATTGCTAAACGTGACATTTAATTATTGTCATTGAATTGAATATAAATACTGCGCTAAGCGGCATTGAAACGCAACAAAAGTAGAATTCATGAAAATTTCAAGTCTGATTTGGTGACGCCTCAGTCGCGCGTTCGCAGGCCCCAAATGGAGGTGCGACGCGTGCCCACAGTTGGGCGTCCCACCGAGCTGTGTATAAACTTGTTGATTCCAATTTTGGGCATTTGCTTCTCCAGCACCTCCATGGCGGCATCCGAAAGCATGCCGAAAATGTCCAGATAAGTAAGTGACGTCATGTTCTTTAGTTCTCTAAATTTGAGGGATACAGAGAAAATGTTTAGAATGAATCCTATGACCTTCGCGGTGAACTTGGATTAGCTTACATAAAACTAGCAGCGGGTATGAGATAGCAGCGCGAAACAGACAAGTATTCCAGACTGTTGAATTTCATGATTGAAGTGAGGGCCGCAGGCGTCAGGCTATTGCAGTCTGAAAGATCGAGTTCAAGCAGTTGGGGGCAGCGCTTCTGCAGTGTGGCCACATCTGAAAGCCGAAAAAGATTAATGTCAAATCGGTCCGAGTCTATTCAATATTTGTGGGATACTAACGTATATCGAAGAGCACACGCCTGCAGCCGGCCACGTTCAATCTGATCACATTGGACGGTATGTGAGTAACCAGTGCGGTTACAGCATCAGCGCTCAAATCAGTCCACGATATGTTTAGGCTGTTCAGTTTGGTTAGCGACTCCATCATTTGGCCAACGCTGTTGGCGTTCAGGCCACTGGCCATCGACAGATTCAGTGTCTCCAGTGAGCTGTTCTGCGCAATTTCACTACAGATTTCATCATTCAGCTCGGCGTGCTCCAGGCTAAGTTTCTTCAGTTGCCGACAATGCGCCAGTAATGTGCGCAACGAGCTGAGTGAAATGGAAGCAAGACTCAAGTCCAGATATTGTAGACGCGACTGAAAGTCTATAGACGATGCCTCGTATGTAAACGCCGGATCTTGTATCTGGTGTAAAGATGGTTGAGAATAAATAAAATATATAGAGCAGATTTTTCAATTTCCTACTTCTGCTTGAGCTAGACGAAGTATTGGCACACCGCGCTTCACCACCTGCTCCAGGGCAGTGGGACGGAGCGTCCGTAGTCCCAAATCCAGACGCGTCCACAGAGTCTCGTCACGTGCACAACGATTGAATCGACGGCAAACGGTGGCTATGCGCAGCAGCGTCTTCTTTGGCAACCATTTGAAAATGTCCAGCAAAATCTCGTCGGACAATTTGTCAAAGTAGTTGATGCCGCTGCTAATGTGGGCGCTCATCGCGGGCGTTCGGTAGACAAAGAAGTTTTCTGTGGCCGCCAGTCGGCTTGTCAGCGTTTGCGGTGGCGGTGGTGCTCCTTGTGCTGCTGTTGGTGCTTGCGTGGGTTTCTTTTGCCTCAGCGCCTGCTTGCTGGTCGAGGGCAGTAGGCTGAGGGGCGTCTGTTGCTGTTGCGGCGGCGGCTGCTGCTGCGGTGCAGGTGGCAGCAAGGGCTCAATTTGATTATTGCATGTGACTGTGGCAAGGGGATTTCTGGTCCGCTTGCTGGGTGAGTTGGAGTTGCTGCTGCATTCGCTGTTGGCCAGCGCCGTTCGCTTCGCCTGGGCCAGAGCGTGCAGCTTCTCAGCCGACTGCTGCAGCGAACGTTCCTGAGTATCTTCGCTGAACACCTCAATAATAGTGTTGTCGAGCGTAGATGCAGTCGAGTTTAGACTCAAGCGCGCCTGCTGGTGTGCCATACGCGCCACATTGGTGCAGGGCGTAGTCTCATTGGAGTTCTCATCGCTGGTTGTGCTCACTGCGAGTGCAATTGCTGACAGAGCAGATGAGCTGCTCTCCTCAGAGTCCAACATCCCGATGCCCATTTCTTCCAGCGCCTCAAAGGTCAGCACTGACGGGGAGGAGGTGTGCTCGTAAACCGACGTCGTTTTGGTTGGGGGCACAGCGGCTGCAGCGCCGATTGAGCCGTTCTTACTTGTCGAGCGTTTTCTGCAACATGTTGGAAATAGTGTTTGAGGGGCATTTAATGAAAAGTGCTCGGCGCGCAACTACGGGACAGTTGCCTGGTCAGCACGGGTCAAGCACCTTTCAATTATATGCTGGCCCCGTTTCGCTGCTGCTCTTGCTTTTTATTTAGCAATACATTCATGTGACGTCACTGGAATAGTTCGCGCCATTTGATGACCCGCCTTTGCATGCACACTTGATTTGTGGGCTATCGTGCATGTACATTATTATGGTTATATTTACCTGGCTACGGGACACAGATTTTCAATGTTTTCGGCTCCTTTGTGCTTGCGGCCACTCATATTTATTAAAGATTTTCTCTTTTTGTCACGCACAAATTACGCGCAATTTTTGTATGCAGCGTTGCCATATGTTCCATTCAATACATTTTGCTGTAGTGCTGCCAGACAGTGCGTAAATGAAATGTTTTCCAGTACCGAACACATTATCCAACACTAAGAAATCATAGGGAAAACACAACAACAGAGTTCACAAAACGGCTGGAAAAATCATACATTAACTTAACAAAGAATCAAACACTAATTTAATAACAAATCGCAAACATACGCATAAATTGCACAAGATATGAGAGGAGAATTTCGAGGCTAATGATACAAAGGTATATTGAGGAATACGGAGGTGATAATTACAACGACGACACTCGCGTTCCTTCCCGCAAAGCCACTTTCGCAAGGTGAGTGAATTTCACAGCAGGCTCTGCTTTTGTTGCTGTTTTGTGCTGCGTTTTCTTTGTTTTAGCCAGTGAAATTGTGGCTAGAATGAAAACGCTTACGCATAAGCAGCAAAATATTTTCAATTATCTAAGCAAAAACAAGAAATATTTGTTTGATAACTTTCCATTTTATGCACATTCGTAGATCTGTAAAGATGAGTCTACGCACGCGCGCCCTTGTGTTCTCTACATTCTTTGGCAGTTGCCTGGCCATCGGATTGCTGTTGACCAGTATGACAACTAATCACTGGGTGCGCGCCTATCCGCGGCGCACCAATACTACAGAAGCTAAGGGCGACGTCAATTTTGGTTTGTTTTATGGTAACCAGAACTTGAATCCTGGTTTTGGAGTACGGAACAATCAGGTCGATGGTGAGGCTCTTGTTAATATCAATAGAAGCGTAATTATGAACCAATCTTAATTTTCCACAGTTTACTCCTTCATTCGCACCGAGCATGGCGACACTAGCTTCTGGCTGTGGTTACTTACGACACTTGGCACAGGCTTTGGACTGTTGGCGTGCACCATAGCAGCCATAGCCGCTGTGCTGAAGTCAGCGTCAGCAGCTAAGAAAGGCGGCACCATGCTGCTCCTGTTGGCTTCAAACATTTCAGCGGCAGGTGCACAGATGGTTGCATTCTTGGCATGGCTGGTGCAGTTCTATCAGTATCTTATTCACAATGTTCTCTTAACGGAGCACCAGCAACAGCATTGGTACAGCACCGGACTGGCCCATCTGGGCTACAGCTTCTATCTGGTTGTTATTTCGACCATTGTGGTCTTCATAAATATAACGATTCTGCTCTATGCTAGACGGCGCGAACGTCGTGATCGTCATCGTTCGGAGCCGCTGAGCAAAGACAAGAATCAGGCGGCCATAATGCTCTACTAGGCAGAAAGCTGCAGCAAGTATAATCCAAATATAACCTCAAATGGAAATGTTCGATCAAGCGATGCAGAAACGCGCACCACGTAATCTCAGCGGCTCAATTGTTTGTGCCTTACTTAAAGATGCCCCTTGCATGCCACAATATATATTTCATTTACACATATCCAGATATATGTATAATATATAAATACATATATGTATTTATCGTAGTCTATAAGCCAACATACATATGTACATATGTTAAGTCTGATTAGCACTTTGATTG